TAACCACAATAAATGTGAAAAACTTGTTTATTTTAAGGCGATTCACATTTTAAAGTAATTCACATTTTTATGGAGAGTATATCTATCGGTGTAGTAAAAATATAAATAACATGTTGTCCTTAAAATGCTCTAGTTTTATAAAAACACTATATAAATTTACATTACTTATAAAGTATCTAATTCAAAACAACATTCTTTATTCAAGAATATTTTAAAAATAAAGTAATGGAGGAGACTGGAAGAATGTCGAGGAACACTTAATTTTGAGAAAAGTAACACATCCTATTTATGTAACTTTTGGTTTTATAATTCTCATTTTTGTAGATTAATTATACCAATAAATTAAATAATTATTATGTAATAATATACTTTTAAATAAGATAATTAACTTGCAATAATTGATTAAGTCCTCGGTAAGATAACAAATTTAATTTATAAAATATATTATTTTATTTTTTTTATTAAAATACTTAACTTTCAACAATTTAGGGAGCGGCTAGCCTTCTTTTTTCTTTTCTTTTCTTTCTTTCTTTTTCTTTTTTTTTTTTGGGCCTACCACTTGGACTCAACTAGGCAACTTCAGCATGCCAGATTCGCTTAACTAACCTTTTCTCCAATATATGGGAACTGATATTACGTTATATTTTCTAGCTGCCTTTTCTAAAAATCAGAATTCATTTACCCCAATTTCATAAAACTAAAAACAATAAAAAAATTCAATAATTAGTGCACCTAGTATGTACCGTTAAAGTTTTTTTGATCATTAAATTTATTAAGACCATCAATTTAATTGTAATTTTATTGATTTAAGTTTAATCTTCTTTTTTTTTCGCTCAATTTGAATGTTTTACATTGATTTTATTCCTCAACTGCATTCTAACTATACTTTTTTTTCTTAAATAATTTATTATGACATTTAAAATTTTCTATTTATAAACTAATTTTAATATGTTAAATAACATACATTAATTATCTTATCAATTTCAGTTTTTTTTAACACAATTAAATTTAATATAAAAATTTTACAGATTTTGATGCCAAATGGTGGCTGTAATCATAGTATGCACTAATTAATGCACCGACCACCTCAATCTCTCTCCCCTATAAATATGGCGAAGGCCCAATTACTCCTCACAGAATCACAAACTCAGTCAAAACTGAAAGCATTTCTCACAAAAGAAATAGGAAATGGGTTTTGAGAATGCAGCTCAAGTTTGCAACGGTATCTTGTCTTCTGCTTCCGACCGCAAGAAGACGACATCTCTCTCATCGGATTCCATTATCAATCTCGACCAGTAAGTACACTTTCATCTTTTTGGTTCCACAAAAAAAAAAAAAAAAAATCTGCATTGTGAATGAATTGTATTTTGGGTTCTTTACAGTGGTGATCCTACAATATTCGAGACGTACTGGAGGAACCAGGGGGAGAAATGTACGCTGGTGATTTCGGGGTCTGATGTGATGAGCTACTTCAGCAACACTGGAAACATATGCTGGTTTTTGGAGCCCAAGCTAGACAATGCCATAAGGAATGTGCATCGGCTAGTGGGGAATGCGATGGCGAACGATCGCCATATCCTGGTGGGGACTGGCTCAACGCAGCTCTTCCAGGCGGCCCTGTTCGCCCTCACTTCTCCTGATGCGGATGAACCCATCAGCGTTGTATCCGCTGCCCCTTACTACTCGGTGAGCATAATTAGCAATTAAATCTTAACTGTTGATATTCATTGATTTAGGCATTTGACTTTTCCTCGTCAATTTTTTTTTATTGAAGGAATTTCGTGAATCTAATTGAATTAAATAAACGAAGAGTTGTATATAATTTAAATGAAAGTTTTATAATTTTATTGATAAAATAAATAATATAAAAATAAAATATTTAATTATATTTTTGAAAAAAAAAAAAGGGTAAAGTAAATCAAAGTTGAGCTAGTCCTCTCCACATCTTCCTTATCATCTTTTATAAGAAAAATCCAAACAGGAGAAAAGAATGACTCACCTTCCCTCCTTCCCTTTCCCAAACTCAGTTCAAATTCATCCTAAAATTTTAAATTCTAAAATTATATTTTTAAAATTAGTAAGTATCAAGTACTACAAGAAAAGTACTTTTTTTTTTGTTAAATCCCCATTTTGGTCCTTAAATTATTGTACGGACTCCGAATTTGGTCCCACTGTTTATAATTTGGCCTAAGTTGGTCCTTAAACTATTGTACGGACCCCCAATTTGGTCCTTACTGTTTACAATTTCGCCCCAATTTGGTCCTGAGCTATTATTTAACAGAAAGACCAAGTTAGGGTTAAATTGGTAAACAGTATGGATCAAATTGGGTATCCGTACAATATTTTAGGGACTAATTTGGGAGTCCGTACAATATTTTAGGGACTAACTTGGGAGTCCGTACAATAATTTAGGGACCAACTCAGGGATCCATACAATAGTTCAAGGACCAAATTAGGAATTTATTTAGTTCAGGGACCAAATCGGGGGTCCGTACAATAGTTCAGGGACCAAAATAGG